GAGAGAGAGAGAGAGAGAGAGAGAGAGAGAGAGAGAGAGAGAGAGAGAGAGATTTTCTTTTTCACTTCCGAGTTATTCCTTGTCTCATGTTGCCTTCCTCTGCGTCAAGACAAAGACAATAACGACCCCAGGCGACTAAATAGGCATACCCATGGTAAAACAAAATCTAGGGCAAGAAATATTAAGCCCGTAATCATCCATACCCTCAAACAATTCGTAGTCCTCTTTTTATGCTAAGCATGGTATTATTTCAATATATAAAGTTTAAAATCCCAATGCTGGAATGTTTCTTTTTTGTTGGTGAGATATGTATTTTGTTTGATTGTTAGCTTATTCGAGTGTCTCTTTTATTAGGCACACTACTGTACTTTTGTCTCCCATTCTTGTCTACCAGGACCCTGAAGTCATTCTGTCGTCCAACGGCAAAGCGACGCAACTGCACATTTATTGATTTTGAGAAAAATGCAAACACCCTTAACTTTTATGATTTAAAGCAGTCACTATTATACTATTATAGTGTTATAGCTTTATCATGTTGAAAAAAAAAGATACTATTTGGGATATGGAGGCGTTGTTCTGCCTTTGACACAGGAAGGATGCTATGGGGAAACCAGTGACGCAAGGTGTAACAAACTGGTAGAACCGAAAAAAAGGAAATAAAAAAAGGAAAGTCAGTCAATGTAGTCAGATACATTGCTCTGCCTAGACACAACAGCATATTTGCTAACAAAATGAACAAGTTTTGCCCGAAAGCTAGCTGATGTATTTGCCGCCTCCCCCTAAAGAATGACTCATCACTTGTCGGATAACATCAATGAACTTTTAATAATTCAACGGGGTTACAAGGGATGACGACATCAACTGAAATGAAATGGAATACACAAGACGGTGATGTAGAACGGAATGAAATGATGAGTGATCGCACTGATAAATGAAACTAGATCTACACGTATGAGTCCCCGAGGGGTGCAGAGTGATGATTATGATAGGGCATGAACTGATGAATAACACTTGTAATACAGCTACACCCCCCTTCCCACACACACAAAAAGAAAATAATGGAAAAAAATTAAATCGGAACTTAGCCAGTATAATGTGTAGGTGTTTGTATTTCCATGGAAATGCAGTGAAGTATGGGAGACAATCTGTGTTTACATATTATATCAGAAGCTATGTGGTTGAACTGTTTTTTTTGTTTTTTTCATATGATTTTTTTTTTGCATCTGTGTATGTTGTTTATCCTCAGTTATTATTTCATCGATGAAAAGTGCTCAGAGCTTATACACACACACACACACACACACAC